GGGGGGGGGGGGGGGGGGCGGAGTCTCAAACAGGAAGTGTATGTGTGTCCTGTGATGAACGTCTGTGAGGAAGACGAGGAGCTGCAGAGCTGGGGCTGGACTGACCTGTGTGTATCTTCTTCTTCTGTGGTGTCGGTAGTGTGTTTGTGTGAGACAGTCCGATGAGGTTCCAGGATTACTTTAGTCCAGCAGTGTGTTGTACCTCTGCTGACTCATCAATATATCAAACAAGTCATTCATCTTTTATTCTGAACCAGTCTTATTTTGAAAGGGTTTTGACGTCACTTCCTGTTGAGCTTCTGTGACGTGAAACATTTAAACGTTGTTCTTTAGTAGATCACCTGGAGATTTAAGTGATGTTTACTGCTCATGTGCAGGTTCATTTGTAAATGTATATGAACAGAAAATCAATCGATCAAAATCATTTAATTGATAAAATAAGTGTTTGTACTAAAGGAAGAAGAGTCTCTTTATTCCTGTGGTTCCTCCTCTTCTTAGCTCCTCCTCCTCGCTGTGGGACTCTCAGAAGGAGCACCAGGACCTCCTCATCATGTCCAGACGAAGCCTTCGGCTGGATGAAGGTCTGTTGGACTGGAGTCTTCCTCACAGCAGCGCCTCCTTCAGTGTGGGAGGAGCCAGCTGGAGGAGCAACAGGTGAGTTCAGAGCTTATCTTCATCTCTCCTTCCTCCTCCTCTTCTGTTTCTCCTCGTCTGTCTTCTCCCTCCATCTGCCTTCTTCTCCTCGTCTCTTCTTCCATCCTCCTCATCTCTTCTCCTTCCCCCTTTTCTGTCTTTCTCTCTCTCTCCCTCCTTCTGCCCTTCTCCTCCTCGACCTTCTCCTCATCTCTCTTGTTTTTCTTTTTCCCTGCATCTGACTCCTCCTCTTCTCCTCTCCTCCTCCCTTCATCTGACTCCTCCTCATCTCTCCTCCTCCTCCTCAGGTCGTTGAAGTGCCGTCGCTCTCAGCATCTCTCCGCCTCCTGCTCAGAGTCTCTCCTCCTCACTTCTCCTCGTAGAGCGACGTCTCTCCTCAGCAGCAGCCTCCACAGCGTCGCCTCCGACGCCTCCTTGCTGTCATCTCTGCTGGATGAGTCTTCGGTGCAGGAGTCCACGCTGGTTGACACCTTCTGGGGTACAACTCCTCTTTTACTCCTCCTCTCTGCTTCCTCCTCCTCTCATACAGCCAGGCCTCTGTGAGGAGGGCTCTTATTTTGGAGGGTTTATGAAGTGTCTGTTTCCTCTTCCTGTTTCAGGTTTGGACCAGGACCTCGATCCCAAAGGTCAATTAATCTTCTTGACTATTAAACATTAGAAACCTTATTTCAAAGGTTAATAGATGGTTCAATGCATTTCCGGTTGGTTGGTTGATTGGTTGGTTGTCTCTGTTCCAGAGAGCACCATCGTAGCTGACCAGAGCTCTCTGGACCCGGACAGTCGCTGTCCTAAACACCTGGTCCAGACTCTCAGCAGGGTTCCCTGTAAAGACTGTGAGCATCAGTCTGTCTCCACAAACTGCTCCTCCTCCAAGTACACCTCCTCCTCAGAGCCAGAGGCCTCCACCATCTACTGCAGAGACCGGAGCCACAGGAGCAAGACAGGTGAGGGCGGAGGGAGACGGGTGGACAGGTGAGGGCGGAGGGAGACGGGTGAGGGAGACGGGAGGACAGGTGAGCGGTTCTGCAGCAGCTCCCCCTGGTGTTCCTTGTGGATCACTGCAGTCTGTCTGGTTCTCACAGGAACTTCTTCTCTACATTATTACAGGAAACATCTGGACTCAGATCAGCTGTTTGTCTTTAATGAACCTCTTTGTTCAGGTGTGCTGCTGCTCAGCTCATCATGTGACAGGAAGCACTCTGAGCCCATGTTTTGTTTTCCTAATATGGACCAAGAACTTCCTGCTCTCTGTGGCTCCGCCCACATACATCACTTCCTGTCTGTCCCAGTGAGTCCTCTGGATCTTCATTAGAGTTTGACTCTCTTCCAGATGTTCTGCAGCTGTGGTTCCTCTCCTCTGTGCTGTGTGTCAGGAGAGCTGCAGCCGGCTGTGCGAGTGTCCTGACACACACCTGGCAGGTGTGTCAGGACCTGTTCTCACAGACTGATAACACACATGCAGGTACTGAGTGTGGGAGTCTGTGGTTCTACAAGGTGTCCACTCTGGTTCTCTACCTGACACTGGTGTCAAAACCTGGTTCTGTTGGGGAAGATCATGCTTTTACAAGAACTTCACCTGGACCTTTTATTAACGACGCCTTCTCCTCATCACTCACTTCCAGTTCACTTCCAGTTCACTTCCTGTTCACTTCCTGTTCACTTCCTGTTCACTTCTTCTTAAAACTTCTAAACCTTTCCACTAGAACCATCCAGAGGACCTCTAGAACTTCCACAGTGACCACTTGGACCTTTTGGAGGACCCAAAGAGCCTCCTTTAGAACACTAGAACTACCTACAGGACCGTTAGAACCTCCCCAATGAGTACTAGACCATCCGACTAAGTTACTTATTGTTAAAATCAATCGGCAGCAACTTGGTACAAATAATCTTCAGAATTAAGATTGAAGTGT